TTTTTATTTTTATATGAGAGCTGATGGCCGGTACAACCCAAATTGGCGATAGAGGGATGTAGAAAATTTTTATTATGACTGTTCAAATCAATTTAGATTTTCCCTTACTTTCACTTACCCATTATTAAAAATTTTTATTTTTATATGAGAATCAGATGAAGATGAAGGCTATAACCCAAATTGGGAATAAAAGGATGTATTTCACTAGAAAATTGTCCTCGTACACCTGTTCAAATCAATTTCGATTCTCTTTTTCATATCCCCTACCTTTACTTTCTACTTACCTTAATAATTATACAATACAGTCTATACTTGAGAGAGGGAAATGTATTTTTAAGCGGGGATACAGCAGAGAGATGCACGTGAAAGATTTCCAAAGATTACCCATCAACCTCATAATAGATTTCTCACCCCTCACCACACCTAATGAATTTCTTGATTTTTGGGGAAATGTAGTGTAATCTCTGGTAATCTTTTTTCATTTCTTTAATATTAAAGTGTATCCAAACAATGTAAATATCATATTTTTTGTAAGCTATTATCATGTAATAGGTTTTCATGTACCCAAATGGCCCCTTGACGTACATTTTTAATGATGCAAGAGGCACTTTTAACATGTGCAAGGGTTAGGCTCGTGGATCTAGGGGTTGCAATGGACTGGGACCTGACAGGTAGACCTGACCCGTGTTTGGGTATGGGTCCAAAAATTGGACCCCAACAGGCGGGTTTGGGTACAAGTCTTGAACCCGAGCCGAATAGACCTGACCTAAACTCGAACCGTATAGTGTTGATACTTAAATAATTTTTAATAGATGATATTTAAATAAGGGTGTGGTTTCTATAAGGTTGCAACCTTAAACAATCCAAATAAGGTGCACCTCCAAATTTAATCATAACATGTAATTTTGGTATAACAAATTCTTAGGAATATCTCAAAATCGATTTTCATATCTAATTATAAAATTTTAAACTCCAAAAATAGTTAAAATCAAGTAGATCTATAAACAAATGAAAATCTTGAAAATGGACGGTCCTGACAATGTGTTGCAAGATGCTCTACTTTTGGAACTTAAAATCTTGTTTCTTTCATATTCCTACATCTCGATGTTGAGATGATCAATTAGAAGGTTTTTCAACATTAAAACAACCTTTTACGATAGTTTTTTGAGGTGCATATATAATTCTACATTTTAAGGTTGCAACTTTATATATACTTTTTCTTTTAAATAATGTCAAGAAATGTAGTTTTAATGCTGAAAATCTTTATGATAGCCTTAAATATATTTTTATATTTAATTATAAAATTTAAAGTTTAAAAAATAGCATAGAACCAGCAGATCTATGAAAACTTGAAAATTGATGGTCCAAAAATGCATTACAAGATACACTATTTCCAAAACTTGAAATTAATTTTTTTCTCATGTCCATGCATCTTGATGTCGAGATGATCAATTTGAGGATATTTGAGCATCAAAACAATCTCTTATAGTAAAATTTTTGAGGTGGGCTCTAATTTGATTGTTTAGAGCCTTGGCTCTATATAAACTTTTTCCTCATAAAGAGAGATGGGTTAATGAGGAATGCTTCCACACACTCTCCTTTTCTGTTTGGTAGAAATGTCCCTAACCAGAGTCCTTGATCGATGTTGCACCGTGGATTAATGAGGATCATGACTTTGCATGAGTCAATATCTGACGGGTGAGGTTTTGTATAAGGCGCACCTTATACTATAGAAGTCATGTGTACCTATAAATTTTGGGAAAAGTTTATATAAGGTTGCAATTTTAAAATGTAGAATCTCAAATGCATCTCAAAAATCCATCGAAAACGTTGTTTTAATGTTGAAAAAACCCTCTAATTGATCATCTCGACATCAAGATGTATGAATATATAAAAAAAAAGTTTTTGAGTCTCGAAAATAGTACATCTTGCAACACATTATCTAAACTGTCCATTTTCAAGATTTTCATATATTTATAGATCTACTTTATTTTAACTATTTTTAAAATTTAATTTTTTTTAATTAGGTATGAAAATAGAATTTAAGATAATACTAAGTACTTTTTACAACAAAATTACATGTAATAATAAAGTTTTAAGGTGCGCCTTAATTGGATTGTTTAAAGTTGCAACCTTATAGAAACCGCACCCATAAATTTTACCTGAAGATGTAGTTCCATTATTAAAAACTTTATGACGGCTTGAAATATATGTCTAATTTTAATTATAAAATTTAAAATTTTAAAAGCAGTACGAATCGAGCAGATCTATTAGTATTTGAAACTCTTGAGAAATAGATAGTCTAGAAAACTTGTTACCAAGCACTATTTTAGGACTAGAAACACTTTTTTTCTTTATAACTATAGATCTCGAGGCCGAGATGATGAATTGGAAGGTTCTCCTACTTTGGAGCACTTTTTTGTATTGAATTTTTGAGGTGCATCTTACTTCTGTTATATAAGGTTGCAACCTTAGACAAATTCTGCCATTTACTTACACAATATAATTTCCCTTTCCTTAAACAAAAACCAAGTGGATGGACAAACTGCAACAATAACCTTACTCCTCAAGCTATCTCGATTACCCATTATTGCGGTGAACCTCCACTGCAACAAATCTTATACCTCAAAACCAGCTTGCGAATCACAAATTGATTCTAAAAAATCCAACACCAAAGAATTGATTAAAAACAAATCTTATTCTTCTATCATGAATAAGAAAAGTCATATGGATTACTAACAAGCCATGGTGGGAAAGTGGTACCCTTGAATCATTTTGGAGAGTCTCACTTTCTCTCCTACTTAATAATGATTAGAGGGTTATGGTTCTTAAAAAATTAATGTGCTTATTATATAAAATTACCCTTGCGGAATTTACGATATATAGTATAGGGGACTTGGAGTTATGGGAAGATTTAATTTAAATGGCATTTTGCCTGACTAAAGTGGCTACTTCCCAGTACAGCCACACACGTCTCTATATTTAAATTTTAGGGAAGTTTATTTAAAAATTTGCTTTATGATTTGGAATTTAAAAATATGCTTAATATTGTATATTTTATGTTCATGTACCTTTTTTTTTAAGAACATGTTTAGTATTTTAATTTTATCATTTTAGATGTACATTATATGGGGATCAAATTCTATATCCATACTTCATCTCATTATGCATCAATAAAAAGTATAAAAAAATAAGTAAATAAAAGTAAAATTATAAAAATTATTTGTCAAAATTTTAGAGCTATTTTGATTATTTAATTTATTTAAAATATTGTTTTTATATTTCTCTAGGTGAAAAATGGTGGTACTTACGGACACCAAAATTTTGAACTGGATAGTATGTATGAAAAAAATACTAAAATTAAATATGATACATGCTCTAAAAACGTGGGACCTGTTATAAAATATAAAGTTTTGATAATAAATTTTAAAATTTATAAAGTAAATAGATATTACGATAATTTCTCAAATTCTTATATCTAAAAGATTATATTTTATTTATAGAATATAATTTTCAATTCCTTAACAAAACCAAGTGGATGTACAAGCGTAGCATGAGCCTGAAATATATGTAGCTCTGCTTTTGAACTAAATCTCCAAAATTTAATTTCCAAAAATTGGGTTTTTCTCTATTACTGAAATTCAATAACTCTTCTAGCAGTTTGACCATTTCAAACTAATTAAAATTGTAGTTGAATTAATAATAATACAAAAAATAATCATAATGCTATTTACTGTTAGAGTTTTTTTTTTTTGGTGATTTTTGGGACTGAAATGGCTCAAGAAGGGCCCTTCTGAATTGCGTGTTTCAAACTTGAATCGCAATTTTTTTTGTGAATGAAATGTAATTTATTGCATGAATTGCCATAAAACATACTTAAAAAATATAGCCTAAGAAAATCTTTAACTATGAATGCCAATTTTTGGGAGTTTGACTACTTTGCGTTGGTTTGAATTCATTGTTTAAATCAGATTTCAATTTTTTATCTTGATGGTTTTGAATAATTCAATTCTTTTTGAAATTATTTTTTGAATCAGTTTTATTGTTCAACATGAAACACTGATTCAAAGATATTGAGATTTTTTTGAGCCAAAGAACCCAAATCAGCAGTTCGATGATCGCGTCAGCAACCGATTTCATCTTTTTAAACAGTCTTGGATCAATTAGTCCTCTTAATTATCCAAAGCTCAGACGGAGAAGATTAGGGTAATATCAAAACAAAGCAAGAGAATCCGAAATAGACATGTAATCTCTCAGTAATGTCCAATCATTGATCAAGGTTCTGATAAATAAGAACAAAATGGATGTGGTTTGGTGTTTTATCCGACACTAAATAAATGGGGCCTCTTTCAAAACTCGATGGATTTTGGGCCTAAAGTTTTCAAGTCCACAATCTCAAGTATTGCTATTATTGATCTGAAAAAGAATTAATTTTTGAACCCAAGAGCAGATACTTCTTGTGGAAAGAATGTGATGCCCAGGAACCAAATCCGAAATTAGTCCGATGGAGTAGATAATCTCACTCTTTGAATAAGAAAAAAGGATCTCTCCCTAAACCATGCTTATATTTTTATTGCACAAGCTTTCTCTATTTATACATCTAAAACTGGGTTCCCTAGATAAAAATATTAGAACTTTGAATTCTTAGTTCATTCAACTACTAGTCCTTTTCAGGACCAAATTTTGCTTTTGGACCATTCATCATCGTTCATTTATTTTGTTTTTCTCATATGATGAGATTTGCACCTCTTTTTTGAGCTACGCAATCATGAATCTGAAACCAAAATGCATCAAGAGTGACTTAAAATGTGTTTCAGAAAGTATAATCTATGGAAACTTCAGTTCTCCACTTGCTCCTAACCAAGTGGTTTGATCTGGTCCACTTTTGTATTGGGTTATGGATGCTGCTACAAATATAAACACACTGTTTTTAAAAGTTTTTTGAATGGACTTTAAGCAAACACAAGAAGTAATTCAGTATAAGCAAGACAGAGGAAAAAGATAGAAAGTTACCTCACATGAACTACTTCAATGTTTTCTATCATACTGTCTCCTGCTGCCTACTTGCTTTCCTTTCTCTCTCACTTTTTATTTTATTTTTATTTTTTTGTGGGTTCTCACTACCTTCCTACACTTGCTGTCTTTAAATAGACATTACAATATATATATATATATAAACTACTCATACACAACACCTACTCTGCAATGGTTCATGACTTCTGATTATCAAGAAGACACTTGCTCTCTAGTTTCTTCCTCCATTGAAAAGAGGACTTCGTCCTTGAGAGCACGTGCTTCCGGCTCAGTGACAAGAGTTGAGGGCTCCGTGCAAACAATGAATTCAGGCTTGCAATCAGTAATGGTTACATTATAAGATCCACTGGCTCCAATTTCATTACTGAATCCATCAGTAGGGAAATGCTCCATAACCCGCAGTAAGACAACATGTGAGAGAACTGTGAGCACCACAAGTGACCAGATGCACCACTCCACCCAACCATGTGCTCCTAAGTGGGGTAATACGATATGGGCTGCAGACATGAAAGCCACCAGTAGCATTGCCACCGATGCCCATAGCATATGTCTCGTGTGAATTGCTAACTTCTTGAGTGACCCTGGGAGGAGCGGTATGATAGTAATATCATTGATGAGAATGCTGATTGATAGCATCAATGCCAAGGCATTGGCCACTGCGAACACCTTGAATGCTGCCGTGTGGGCCTTGACTGCAACACTTGCGTCTTGTCCATCACTGTTGACCCCGCCGGGGGGGCTGAGACCTGCAGTGAAGGCTGATGTGGCTATCAAAGCAGCCACCACCGAAATGGAACCCCTGAAGCTCTTCAAGGCATCAATCCAGAACTCTTGCTCTTCATAAATTTTCGAACCCTCCCCTTTCTGTTTCTTTTGGCGTTGCCCTCTACTCTGAGATTGCCTTTGGGGCCTACTTGGCAGCAGCACAGGAATCTCCTGTAGTCGTGGCTGCATAGTTGGCAGTTGGCTTTGCTCAATTATTTTAGATGAGAGAAACTCTGCTATTAGGATACTAGACAACGACAAAATCTTCATCCGGATACGAAATCAAGTTAAGTTTGTTACAACGTGATCGTGATGACATGCTCAGTGTGATTCAATGAAGAATTCAAGAAGAAACATCAATGAACAAGCATACAATCTATCAAAATTTTTCAAGATTCATCTAAGATTCAAGTCTCATGATCATGACTCAAAAGCATGATTCATGGCTCGAAGTTGGTATCAAAATGATTGCCATGCCGAGCCCTACAAGAAAACAATAATCTTTCGATCAAACGGGCATCAGAACATCCCTAGGTCAGCCATGGAAGATCATACAAGTTCTCGATTAGAAGTAGGAACTGTTCTGAAATTCTACACATTGTTAGGCAGGTGCAAAACAGTCCTTTTGTACCTATTTTTAGAATTTCTTTAAATTCAATTAAATTGTAATTATTTTCAATTCTAACTAGGTTTTTGGTGTACACCAACGTTTTAACCCAATTATATATAAATAGGCAATGCCTCATTGTACATAGAACAAATTCATTCTTCTTGGATCAATCAATAAAATTCTGATTTTTGCTTGAGCTTGTGGGTATGTCTCGGAGAGAGAGAGAGGAGAGATAAAAAAAGAGCCAATACCCTTCGTGTAGGTAACTTTCTCTCTCCTCCCATTTTTTCATCTCTATCTCTTTTTCTCTCATCATCTCTTCTTTCTTTGTCCTCCTCTCTTCTCGTTTTTATCTCTCTCTTTCCTTGTCTCTTCTCATCTGTCTCCCTCCTCTCTCTCCTCTTTTGTCAGTCGGTGAAACCTAGTGTCGATTGATTTTCTCTCTCTTTTGTCACAACCGATGAAGCCTAACGCTGATTGGTTCTCTCTCTTCTATCACAACCGTTGAAGCCTAGCACTGGTTGGTTCTCTCTCTTTTGTCACAACCGACGAAGCCTAGCGCCAGTTGGTTCTCTCTCTTCTATCATAACCGATGAAGCCTTGTGCCAGTTGGTTCACTCTCTTCTTTCACAACCGGTGAAGCCTAGCGCCAGTTAGTTCTCTCTCTTATCACAACTGGCAAAGCCTATCACCGAGTGGTTTTCTCTCTCTTCTGTCAAGACTAATGAAGCCTAGAATTGGTTGGTTCTCTCTCTCTTCTATCACAACCTACAAAGCCTAGCTTCGGTTGGTTTTCTCTTTCTTCTCTATCAAACGGTGAAACCTAGCGCCAGTTGGTTTTATCTCTCCCCTTCTATCAATCGGCGAAGCCCATTATCGGTTGATTTTCTCTCTCCTCTTGTGTCAATTGGCGAAGCTTAGCACCAACTAGATTTTTCATCCCTCTTTTGTCATAGTCGGTGAAGCTTAGCATCAACTGTGTCTCCTCTCTCTTCTCCTCTATACAACACAGTCGGCGAAGCCTAGAGCCGACTACGTTTTCTCCCTTTTCCTTTTTAACACAGTCGGCAATACTTAGTGCGGACTGCATCTTTTTTCCTTATCCCTTTCATTCTCTCGTCTTTCATGCTCCTCTTCCTTTCTTCTCCCTCCTTCTTTATGTTCCCTTCTCTTTTTATTGTTTCTTCATAATCTTCAGTCTACTATTCGACTAAGAGGGATTGAGGCTAGCCTCTCATGGTAGTCCGGTCATCTAGTTGTAATGTTGTTGTGCCAGAATTACTTGGCCCGCTTTATTGCCATTGCAGACTAACCTTTGTGCCTAGCTAGTCGGTATTGGTAATGACGTTTATTAGTAATCCTATGAGCATGTCTTAATTACCGAGCCCATTTTGCTACCACATCAGACCAATTATTCACTAGCTTGTCATCGCTCTAATCCTCTCGCTCAGTAGAATTCTTCTCTCCCCCGTATTTCTTCTCTTATTTTTCTTTTTGAATGCTCATGGTTGTGTACGTTTATCAAAGAGGAAAAATGGTGAGGTCTGACCCAGCTGTCTTATAACCTTTGTCATATGTGTGTGATTGTGATTGTAGAAAACAAGAAGAATACAAGCCAAGGGAGACGAGTCCGAACCAATTTTATTATTGGGGGGCTTTTTTCGTGATCTAAGAGGGCGGCCACGTGAGTCAGCCTGAGTAAGTCTCGAACCCACCTTAAATTCCTTTATCATCGGTTGGTAACACCTGCCCCCGTTTTTTAACAAGGTTCCCAAGAGAGCAATCTAAAAAACATCCCAAGTCTTCCCTCCAAACCCGAAACGCGTGCCGCCCGATCATCCAGACCTAACCAATGTCGCCCATACATTTTTGCCAGAAGTTTTATTTTTACGTTTTCCAGCAAAATACACGTAATAAAAAAAAAGAGTTTTTTTTAGGTGGGCGACACCATCCATGTCACCCAAACCTAGGCGACACCAGCCGTATCGCCCAAACCGGGGCGGTACGGCCAGTGTTGCGCAAAACGTTTCCCTGAAACTTTCACCACCCAATTTTTGAAGACTTCCAAGGTTCAAACATGGTTTGTCAAGGTTTTTTATGATCATTTTCAAACATTTTTATTAACTTTTAAAATAAAACGCTCCTTGGTGGCATGAGTCTGTCAACCAATTTTCAAAAAAATAAAAATTTCAAAAAAAACTTCAACAAAAAAAAAGAATAATTCGCTCCTTGGTGGCACAAGCCTAGACTGCCAACCAATTTTAAAAATAAAATAAAAATCGAGGGCATGAGCCTGAACTGCCAACCAATTTTTCAGAAAATTTCAAAAACAATTAAAAAACATAAAAACGTTCAATGGTGGCATGAGCCTAAAGCGCCAACCAAGTTTCCAAAATTTCAAAAAAAATAAATAAAAAAGAGAGAACACTCCTCGGTGACATGAGCCTAAACTGCCAACTAAAGTCCGACCCAAAGCACAACCACCCTGTTTCAATAGAAAAACGTCAAGCTCGTGTAATGTTAAAGATTTGAGACAGGAAAACAATCAAACTTGTGCGACGTTAAATAGCCGAGATAGGAAAAATGTCAAACTCATACGACGACAAAGAGTTAAGACAGGAAAAACGTCAAACTCGTGCGATGTTAAAGAGCTGAGATAGAAAAAACTTCAAACTCGTGCAATGTTAAAGAGTCGAGACAGGAAATGTTTCAGTTCCAATGTTTAAAAGGCAGCCATTCGGACTTGGGACTCGCCTGTGTCAAACTTGTGAAGGAGCAAGGCTATTTTTTAATAGAAAAGACTTGGAATTGGCTGAGTCTCACAACTTTTTCATAACTTTTTCTCTTTTTCTCATTAAACACAACTTGTCTAACTTAGACTAGCCCAAATGCAACAGTAGGACTTGGGATGGGACCCTAGAGAGTACCCTGACCTTTTTTTTTTTTCTTCACTTTGGGTTTGCAAGAATAGAATGCAATGTTGTTAATGTTAACTGCCAACTACTCAAGCCTAAGCCCAATTCTTCGCATCCCACTTTGGATATAAGCAAATAAGTAGACGAGATAGACAAACTTTGGTGATGGACTGTCTTGGTCAGCAATTTGACAAAGAAGCAGACACAAGAGAGATTTGTTTCTATGAAATGGAGTGCTTGCTACCTTTGTGTCATGGCCGGGACTGCAAGGACAAGAACAGCGCCGTTTTAAGCTTCTCTTCAAAATAAATCACTTCAAAGTTGAAACAGAGAAACAAGTTGTTAAAAGAAAATCCCCACCCCACCTCAATCTAGGTTTTGAAACATTGCATGACAGGGTCATTTACTGGAAAACCCCCCACCCCCAATCTGGGTTTTGAAACATTGCATGTCAGGGTGATTTACTAGAAAATGAGTCAAATCCATTGATTATTTTGCGCAATGTATTATGTAATAAATATGTACTAAAAGGTCTTCGAAAACTCGGGTGACTCCACATGGACTCACATGAGTTACTAGGACTCAGCAAGGTGCCAAGTCCGAGTAGGACCATGCCAAACTCCGCCTAATCCTATATTTTAGCAAAATAATTTATACAGACTTGTCCGAGTCATCGAAAGACTCGGCTGAGTTTGCACGCCGACTCGGACTGCTTCCTAGCCTTGGTACTATGTGACTATGCAAGAGTACTTACCTCAGGCCTTCTGTGACGTTCTACGAAATTCACAACAGTGTTCCCATTGTTATCTGGTAGGTTAATGAGATCGAGAAGGTCTTCAGTGCCCGGGGCCTTGAGAAGGCATATCAATGTGTCGAAGTGATTATATTTAGCACATAGAAGAAGAATTGTTTCATCCCTCTGTCAAACTTTTAGCAGATGTGGGAGAATGTCGCATTATGCATGTTAACATACTGCGGTCCCCACTCATGGCTGCATAGTGGACAGGGGTCCTTCCATCTTTGTCCCTGAGGAAGAAAAGCTTGTCGGGATCGGCCTCGAGAAGCACATCGAACACTTCGAAGCTCATGTTCGCTGCGACCAGATGCATGGGAGGGAGACCTCGGTGGTTCATAGAGTGAGCCAAGTCCGGCCGAAGCTTGAGGATTTCGCTTGTGAGGGTCGCATGCCCAAATCTCGCAACTGTGTGCAAGGGAGTGTCGCCGGAGCAGGGCATAACTTCACGCAAGATGAACCTATCTTCATTGATTAGTTCTCGGAAAGCAGGCAAATTACCAGTTTCGCAGGCCTCGTATAGCCTCAGGTTCATTGCTCAAAGGAACTGCACGCATTAAATCTCTCTCCTTCCTGTTCGCGTGCGGCATCAACATAAAATTTGAAATCTGGCTCAAACAGGTAAACCTCTCTCTCTCTCTCTCTCTCCCTCTCTCTCTCCTTGTGTGCGGAAGGTCTCTCTCTGCTTGTGTGGAAAAGGGTCGCGGACAGGAAAAGGTCACGGGCTGCACTTGGAATGCAACATGATATAGCCAACATTCAAATAGTATTTATTTATTTTTATTCAATGCAAATAGTATGTTTCATGTTACCTCAACTGTATGTTTTCGAACCAGAGCTTTGGTCATGTCCATTGATATCGTTCAAAGGAGAGGTGGCAATTGGTTGGGTCATGTGCGGGTTGACTTAGGCTAGGACCCGATTAGATTCGGTTACGGGTCAGGTCTAGGTCTAAGATCTAATGAAATTTTTTATGAAAAATATTCAAAAAGTTGTTTTGAATATATATATATATATATATATATATATATAAATAAATAAAAGGCAAAAATATGCAACCATCCAATTTTTTTTTAGAGAGTGGAGAAAAGTCAATTGCCATGGATGTAGTATGTCCATTATGGTACCACCATAAACTTTGTAGGCCATGGTGGTCGATTTATCACGTTAAACTGTAATGGACCTATTACGTTCGTTAATAGGGCAAAAATGCTACTTACTTTGCTTATATATATAAACTTGGTAAGGCTATGGTGGTCGATTTATCACGTTAAACTGTAATGGACCTATTCCGTTCGTTAATGGGGCAAAAATGCTATTTACTTTGCTTATATATGTATTAAAAAGTTAATATATATATATATATATAGGTGGTGTCTAAACCAAATTGACTTGGACCTAGACCCGACTTAAATCCCACTAAAATCTAGCGTTTTAGTCCTACGAAAGCATTACCATTGTCGATTTCGAGGTGATATGCGACATATGTTCGTATGCTACAAGTATCACTATTCGTTCCCATGAGCAAAATTTTCCTTTCAAAAAATTTAGCACCTTGCACGAGATCGGGTTATATTCATGTGGTTTGTAATCCACCACGTCGCACCATCCCACTTCTTGTGGTTGGTAATTCACCACGTTGCACCGATCCACTTCTACCGTATAAATGATAAGGTAACCTCGAATCTGGGCAATGTTAGAGACCAAACGTTTTCATGGTCTTGTAGGAGTACGCTGCTCATTTACTTTTTTGGGTGAAATCCAATCGAACAGTGTACTTAAGACCCCAAAATTTGCCAATATAATCTTTTCTCCTCGTAGACTAACATCGATATTCTTTTTTTGATAGAATATAAATATTTTTTTTTTCTATTCAAATTACACCTTTTATAGTTTTGAAGAAGGGATTGTATACAATGAACATTTACCATTTATACAAGGTAGTCACAATTACTTATAACTATAAGATGTAAAATTTGATATCTTGGATTTGTGATAATGTTCGAGAAATGTTTTTTAAAATAATATGTATTTGAATAGTAGGAGCTAATTAATGCTAATATTCTCATATTAATGACATTATTGTTGTTGTAATAAAAGACAAAAAATAATTGATACTAAAACTACATCCTCAAATAAATTTTTAGAGGTGCTCGTTGCTTGTACAGTATAAAGAGCACGCCTTATGCAAGACGAACCCTTTAATTAATGCCAAAAGTGTCCAAAGGTCTTTCTCAAGTTAATGCATAGAGGAACACGAAACAAGTAGGATCGATAAATGAAATACATATGTTGTATCAAGTTTTTAAATTGTTAGGAAAGGGAATGAATTCGTGGTGGTAGCATCCTCACACCTAGTCACCACGTTTCTGTTCCTACCGCTAACCTTATTTTATTATCACTTTAAAAAATCTAACTCATACTCTATCGAGAAAAATGGTACCGCTAACCCCACTTTACTAATATTTTAAAAAATCTAATTGCTAAACTACCTAGAAAAACGGGTAGGGCCTTGTCTTACCTACGGAATAACCAAAAAAAAAAAAAAGAGTTTTTGAATTGCAGCTTACGTTTTAGTAGAGGAGATGAGCAAACTTTGTGAGACGGACAGTCTACGTGTGGTTGGCTCCGCTTGGTTCGCAATGGGCCAAGGTTAAGCATAATTTTCATCTTTACTATCTTAGCCAAGATTTCTAGCTCATATAATGAAAAAGCAAAGCCCAACTTCATCTTGCCTTGCACTTTATTTCTCACTCCGTTGTATTTGGTATTGAATATAATTTTTGCAAGGAAAAAGTTTATATAAGTTTACAACCTTATATCCTCGGAGTAAAGTGTAGTTAAAATACCTAGCACAAAAGTATATTTTGGAGTTGAAAATAATGTTCCAATTGATCATCTTAACCACGAGATGTATGATATATAAAAACAAAAAAAAAAAAAAAAAAAAAAATTTACAAGTTCTAAAAATAATTGATTATATAACAAATTATTTGGACAATCTAGTCAAGATTTTGAGATGTTTATATCTCTGCTCCATTTGTATAATTTTTAAAATTTTAATTTAAAAAGTTAAAGGTACACTTACTTATAAAGTATGATGTGGGCATATATAATTGATCTCACCTTAAATAAGAAACTCCATTCATAAGTCGCATTGAATAATGTAAAGCTCATATCATACATTGCTTTGGGATACGGGCTATGAATTTTTTATAGCTTGACTCCGCTTGCTAATATGCAAGTTGAAGCCGACGTTTATGGGTATAAACTGCATTTACATTAGCTACAACAAGGCTTGGTTTTGGATGATGGATTCAAGAGAAGCGCATAAAGGATAAAACCTTCCATGATGTTTGTCTTAGTCTCTTTAAATACGATAGTTGACTAAGTCTTCATCTTAAAATATAAGACACAGTGAATTAATGTCAATTCTACTTCTTAGATATGTTGAAACGTCAATTTTCATGAATTTAGTAGCTGAGTGGAACTTTGAGGAAGATTATATCTTGCATCCTATGTATTGACACTCCACCTCCGCAATGCAGAGAGAGAGAGAGAGATGGACCAAAGGTTGATTAATGTATGCGAAACTGGAGTGAATGGTTCCTTCATCGAACTGGTTTAGCAGAATCAATGGATACTAGACACGCGAGTAGCAGTTACTTTTGAGACACCACTTCATTTGGTTTCCAGGTATGGGCTTGTGGACATAGCAAGGAAGATGGTTGAGCTGAGACCGCACATGGCTTTTGCAGTAACCACCAAGAGCTTTGCCCAATGCACATAGCTGTTTGAAAACAACCAACAAGGAATTGTGATGGAGCTTCTTAGCAATGAAACACAAAACTCGTGCTTCCAAAGAGATCGAGACGGACAGAACCCGGTCCATTGCATGGCCATGAGGGCATGTTGTTTCGTCCTCTGGTCATGTCGCAACGCAGCCAAGAGCCTCACCGATCGAGGCGAGAACTTCCTTCATCTGTGTCTCAAGTATGGCCACCAAGAAATGACAGTTAACTTGATCCGGGAATTTGATTTTGTACGCGAAGTCGGTCAGCACAGCGATAACCATGGCAGCAGTGTCTTGAGCCTTGCAAGAGCTACTTTGACAATGAGGTAAACATCGCCATCGGCATCTCTTGTTAAGCCAGTAATGTGTAGGGGCAGTGTTTACCAATTCTTTTCAGGCAAAATATGAGACATGCTTATCGGAATCACCATGTCAGTCGTCCATTGATGGCTCAAATCAGCGGCTTGCGGATTTGTCGTAGATCGCCCAGTTCAGTGAGAAAGAAATATTTTGCTCAAAAATGGTATTTGCCCAATTTTTGAGAAGTTGGTTATTTTTATTTTTATTTTTGTGCAATAACTTAAACCACTTCTTCTTTATCTTTCCCCTTTTCCATTTTATGCCCGATGCCCCCATTTTCATCTATTCTTCCTTGTTTCCTATCGCTTTTTCTAAAACACACATTTTTTATCGTTTTCAAGTACTCTAGAAGATCTATAGTATAGGTTTTTGGAGTGAAGCCCCAATTAAATGAAATCGAAAGTTCAAATTTTTGTTTTCGTTTCTCTTTCTGATCTTAGGCTTGGATTCCACAGGTATTAAGGCTTTAATCTAAGAAATCAGTACTTTGAGCTCAGACCACTCGAATTTGGAAAGATTTTAGGTCTTAAACCAAGGAATTGTGATTTTGAGATTAGACCTGTTGATTTTTTTCTTGATTTGAGGTTTTCCAATAATTAAATTTTCCTATTTTTTTTGTTGTACTTTCAGGTGAATCAATTTCAGTTCAAAA